ACATACGCAAATAAGAGCAAGAAGAGAGCAAGCGGAATGGTCGTGAGGCTAGCAATGATCAAGAAGTGATCCTGAACTCCTACTTATGTCAAACATAACCCAAAACCGTGTTCACTTCCCAGACTCCGCCAAAAAGAGACCATCACGGCTACACACGCGGTTGATGCATTTTAATTCGGATCAGGTGTCAAGTTATCTACAACCGGACATTAACAAATTCCCATCTGCCCATAACCGCGGGCACGGCTTTTGAAAGTTTATACCCTGCAGGGGTGTCCCAACTTAGCCCATGATAAGCTCTCGCAATCAACGAAGGATATACCTTCTCCCAGGAAGACCCGATCAGACTCGCAATCCCGGTTTACAAGACATTTCGACAATGGTAAAACAAGACCAGCAAAGCCGCCCGATGCGCCGACAATCCTGATAGGAGCTGCACATATCTCGTTCTCAGGGCAACACCGGATAAGTCAAGCTACGAGTAAAACCAGACCTCGAGTTTCCCCGAGGTGGCCCCGTAGGTTGCTCGGTTAGGACCAACACTTAGAGAAGCACTGGCCCGGGGGGGCTAAAATAAAGATGACCCTCAGGCTCCAGAAACCCAAGGGAAAAAGGGCTAGGTGAGGCAAATGGTAAAACCAAGGTTGGGCCTTGTTGGAGGAGTTTTATTCAAAACAAACTGTCAAGGGGGTCCCATAAATCACCCAACCACGTAAGGAACGCAAAATCCGGGAACATAACACCGGTATGACGGAAACTAGGGCGGCAAGAGTGGAACAAAACACCAGGCATAAGGCCGAGTCTTCCACCTTTACCAAGTATATAGATGCATTAATTAAATAAGAGATATTGTGATATCCCAACATAATCGTGTCCACCATAGAGCAATCTTCAACTTCACCTGCAACTAACAACGCTATAAGAGGGGCTGAACAAAAGCGGTAACATAGCCAAGCAACGGTTTGCTAGGAAGGGTGAAAATGTTAGAGGCTGACATGGCAATTTGGGAGGCTTGAAGAACAAATGATAGGTAGCGCAGCATAGCGATAGAACGAAGCAACTAGCATAGCAATGATAGTAATGAGATTCAAGGTGACGGTCATCTTGCCTGAAATCCCGCGAGGAAGAAGAACGAGTCCATGAAGGAGATGAAGCCACGAAGACGAACCAAGCGTAGACGAACGAATCCTCACGATCGCAATGAAACAGGAACTATCGAGAAGAAGCACACAACATGGTAAACACACCACACATATACAAGACATGATGCACAACCAAGCATGATGCATGACAAGGCTACATGAAGCTACTCATGGCAAGAGATGATGCAAACAAGAGCAACACATCCAGGCAAGTTTAAATGAGGCCGGGAACAACATATAACAATTCCGGTAAGTCCTTATATGCAAGTTTCGAAATTGGTCCAGATCTGAACAAACATTATGTTCAAGTTGTTAAACAGTAAGTTAAGATGCACCAAGATGATCTACACGCGATTCTAGTCAAGTTACATATAAAGTTCATTTAATTCGGAGCTACGACCTAGAAGATATGAGCAAAACAAGTTAAACATGGCATTGATGCAAAATGCATACAAACATCAAGCAAACACCTCAAAACAAAGATTCAACATTATAATATGAAACTACATGCAAAATCAAGCAAGTTTCATATAGAGCACACTCACAACGGAGCAACGGTTCAACACACACACATGAAACAAGATATAATAACAATCTGTCCAAAACAGCAACTAGGCATCTAGCAAGCATCAAAACAACATGCTACATCACCTCAACATGAGAACAAAAGGCATGGACATGATGTACAGGTAAAGTATGACAAAACATGAACACTGAGCTATCTCCAGAATTCACTAGAACATGCTCAAAAAGACATGGCAAGATTGCAAATAATAACAGTTTCAGGCTTTGCAGAAATAACATCAGGTTGCAATGTTTAGAGCTATCAAGCAACATGCTACAGGAACTTATCATTGCAAAAAAGGCATGGCATGAACCTACTAATTGCATAGAACAAAAGTCCCTTACTGACCATGAGCCAAAAGAGCACAGAAAATATGATGGCACCCATGTAAACATGGCAAGTAATATGACAGATTCATACATGGCAGGAACAACAATAAGTAGGCATGTTGGTGAGCTTGTACCACTCACCACAGAGCAATACATGGCATGGAAAGGTGACCAACAGTAATAAGACATGTTTGTGAATCTAAGCATGGCAATAGCATGGTCATAGGGTGCATGGATCACTAACAAAACACATGGCAAAACTGAACTTAATATCAACAAGCTGACAGCAACATTATTTAGCAATTTTGGAGCAAGAATACAACAAGCTACAGCAGACTATAAATGCAACCAGGGTCATGGATGGATAGAGCATGACATGTATAACAAAACATCCTTAGTGAACATCTCCAGATTATGCATAGAATGACTTGTAGCAGCAGGTTTACATAGCATCATGATATAGCAGATTCAGCCTAGCAAAACAGCAACAGCAAGTACCCTACTTAACAAGCTTGATGCACTCACTACAAGACTCACAAAAATACATGGATGGCACCACTGTAAAGATGGCATGTCATAGTTCGAAACACATGTAGAGATCATGCTCATAGGATGCACACATCAAATGCAACAAAAATAACAAAACACCAAGTTCTGTTAACAGACAGCAGTTAACATCATATAGCACTTTTGCAATGATGATTCAGGCATCTAGATGAACTCAAATTAACATGTCACAATGTAATGAAATGAAGAGCATCTCACAACGAACATTTTGATATATTATACATGCAAAAAGGAGCTACGGATGATGAGTTATGATGCGATGAACAGGGCACAAAATATATAGCAGAAAATGACGGCAGATTTTCTGAAAAAAAAACAGACGGGCGCGATTTAACTAAATACCGCGCAGGGCGAGGGATAGGGTCGGTCAGGGGCTCACCTAGTGGGCTTTGGCCCATATGCAGAGGAGGTGAGGCAGGCCGGTGGGGGGAGCCGGGCTGTGCCGTGGCCCACGAGGCCTGCGTGGCTGGAGGAGGCCCAGGACGTGGGGCGTCGTCCTCCTCGTGCGCGAGCACGAGCGGGAGGCAGGGGAGGCGGCGCTGCCTGCGGCCGGCGCAGGGAGGCGCTGGGGAGGCGCTGCGGCACCGGATCCGGGCAAATCTGGACGCGGGGGCCCCATTCCCGGCGACGACGAGGCCAACCGGCGACGGGCGGAGCTACAAGGGCGACGGGGACCTGCGGGGGAGGGAGAGAGAGTGAGGCAGGGAAGAAGAGAGAGGAAGGGTGGAGGCGCGGCGGCGGGGCTCGCCTGGGAGGCATGGGACGTCGGAGGGGCGCGGCGGTGAGGTCCGCAACGGAGCCGGCGACGAGATCCAACGCGCCGGCGGCAGAGGAGTCGGGCGACGGGGACGGGATCGAGCGCGGGACGCGCGGGCTAGCTGCGGCCCTCGAGGCCCAGATCGGGGCCCGGGCGGGCCTGGCACAGGCCTGGCGGCGCGGGAAGGCAGGGGAACAGGTGGCGCGTGGGGGTTGGCTGGCGCGGGCGCTGGGCGACGTGGCGGCGCCTCATTGGCCGGGGCGATGTGGCGGTAGCGATGCCAAGTGGCGGGCAGGGGCGGCGGCGCCGGATCCGAGGTGGGAGGTGGCTGGCTACACGGAAATTGAGGGAGGAGGTTGGTGGAGGCCAAAAAATGGCATATGGGTGGTGTTTAAATAGGCAGGGGGTTAGGGTGTGAGGGTGTGGGGGTGTTTTGGAGCCCTCCGATCTTGATCGGACGGCTCCGGACGCGAGGGGGGTAGGCTGGGCCTAGGAGGGGTTAGTGGGCTGAAGCAGAGAAGAGAGAGAGGCCCGACAGCAGTTTCGGAGACCGAAACGTCCGACGAATATACCGGCTATATCGCGGTTATATATTTAACGGTTGGGCAGTCAAACGAGCTCCGAATGCGACGAAATTTGGCAGGCGGCCTGCCTACACTATAACCAACTTTTGTCCTATTCCGAGAACATTTTTATGCCACTTATAAAATAATATTTCGGAGGTGCCGCGGGCGCGTGCGAGTGTGTCTGGACTCCGAACGGGCAACAGAGAGAACCGGCGGAACCCGAACGGATGCAAGTTTTGAAAAACATGCAGATGAAATGCAGATGATGACATGACAAAATGCAACACACAAGCAAATGACATGGCAACGACGGCGAATAATTGGCAGACACCTGGCGCATCGAATCCGGGGCGTTACACTTTATTAGTGCAAGTACTATATTTACCCAACCGGCGAAGCCCTAACAACTCTAGTATTTTTTTTCATTTTGAGGGTTAGAGCATCTCCAATAGATGATGTATATTTTGGTGCTCCAAATCGGTGATGTAAAAATTTACATCACCAAAAAGTGCTTTTTACATCTCTGGAAAAGGCTCAACTTCAACAGATGGCCCAAAACGAAGATGTAAAAGAGCAACTCCAATAGATGGTCCAAAACAAAGATGTAAAATTTTGAAAATGACCAACTACTACTTCATCTCAACATAGTTCAAACTTCATCTCAACATATTTTTTTAACCTTTTTAAGGAATTCTTTCTATTTTGTATAATATGTAAAATGTAAAAAAAGATTCGAAAGCCGGTTATCGGGCTAGAACATACCGAACAACGAAAACCGCTCAAGTAGCGGTGCGCGAATCATCAGAGTGGGCTGGCCCAGTACACTCGTGGTGTCTCGCCTCAAACCAACCCTAGCCGCCAGGACGGCGCCGAGCCCATCCACCATCCCAGTCACCGCCCGCTGCCTTCCCATCGACCCCTCGCCGTCCACCGCCGCCTCCTCCTCCCCCGCCGCCGTTCCAAGCCGCTGCCTCCTCCTCCTCGACCACCTCCTCCCCTCCATCTGCCTCTAGCGCCGCCAGCCCGCCCACCCGCTCGCCTGCCACTCTTGTCAGCCGCTGCGAGGAGGAGACCATGAAGCTCGACGTGAACGCCCTCCGCTACCTCTCCAAGGATGACTTCCGCGTCCTCACCGCCTGCGAGATGGGCATGCGCAACGTAAGGCCTTAAACCCTACACCTCAGCCAGCCTTAACTCGACGCCATGTGAGACTGTTCGCCCTGACGCTTCGGTTTTGCTTTTGGATTCGCAGCACGAGATCGTGCCCGCGGAGCTCGTCGACCGCATCGCCGGATTGAAGTGAGTTCTACCACGTGCTCTTTTGTGAATTTTGCTTTGTGTGGTTTGGGAAATTGATGCTTGTGGTAGGTGTATTTAGCTGCCAAGTGTGGGGATGGTGATTAGCGTTCTCAGGCAGTCAGGCGAGTTGATATGATAGTTCGTGGGCTGCCATTTAAGCTTAATCGTTGGGTCTGAACTTCACACAGGGTTTCGGTTAAGCTTTGCACCTTTGCAATTTGTCATGCACAATATCAATAGTTGTAATACATAACTGTTGATTAAAACGAAGTTGGAATTCACTGTCAGAACTTTTGGCTGCAGTAATGTAATGTCGACTGCGTGTCGAAAAATTCAAGGTCCAAGACCACGGCTTAAAACAACTTAGGTTCTCTGTGTGTTAGAGCTCAGTATTCTTTGGAAATCAGTTTCAAATGGATTATGTTGTTTGGTTTGGTATAATGGATCTCTCCGTTATCTTGGTGAGTGTATTATAATTCTTTGTGGATTTAGGCATGGAGGCACATATAAAGTGCTGCGGAATCTGTTGAAGAACAAACTGGTGCACCATGATTGTAAAAAGTGTGAGTCATTGATGTCGAATCTTGCGTCATTTTATGCTTAGATGTATATCTGGATTATCATAGCTGCTTTTCTTTTTTTGGTTGTAGATGATGGGTTTCGGCTCACATACCTTGGGTATGACTTCCTCGCCATAAAAACTTTGGTCAATCGTGGAGTCTTTGCTTCGGTTGGTCGCCAAATCGGTGTTGGAAAAGAGTCAGGTACATGGATTATTGATGTCCTGCTCATTTTATATATTTTTCCTCAATTTATGGTTGTTATCCTGTGCTTTACTTATATATTTTAAAGTTGCACAAGAAAGACATTGTGAAACATGCGAGTCACTGCTTGTCTTGCCTGTGCTTTACTTGATTAAGAAAAAGAACAGCTATCTAAAGTTCTAAACACCCAATCATGTAAACAGAGCCCAACCAAACTAGATTATCATAATCCATGGCAATGCCATATCGAATCCTAGATTGTACCTAGCAAATGTCAAGTGCTTTATGTGGAATGTTTATTTTTCTTATAGATATATTTGAGGTTGCCACGGAGGATGGAACAGTGTTGGCCATGAAGCTTCATAGGTTGGGTAGGACATCTTTTAGGGCTGTCAAATCAAAGCGTGACTATTTAGCCCACCGGAGGAGCTTTAACTGGCTGTACTTATCACGACTGGCGGCCCTCAAGGAATTTGCTTTTATGAAGGTTTTTGCATGTCTATACTTTTCTTAAATTTTGATCTGTCTAACTGCTTAATTGTTTAACACTCTTATATTGTTTTCTCATTCCACTTGAAGGCTTTAGGAGACCATGGATTCCCTGTTCCCACAGCGGTGGACTGCAATCGGCACTGTGTGATTATGTCACTTGTGCCGGGATATCCACTGTAAGTTGACATTCCTGTAAATGAATTTTAATTTTATTCACGAGTCTTTTTCCCTTTACGCAGAGACTGACATAGGCGTTGCATTCTGTTATGCAGTGTTCAGATAAGAGAATTGCAAAATCCAGATGATGTTTTTGACAAAATTCTTGGTCTTGTAATTCGTTTGGCGGAGCATGGGCTTATACATTGTGATTTTAATGAATTCAATATCATGGTACTACTTTTACCCTCTCTTATCATCATTACACTTGGATAAGTCAGCTTGTCCATTCTTCGTTTCTCTCTTTCTTGTATTTGCCTTTGCAATGTTTGAGATTCTGTAGTTTCTGCATCATGTTTATGAACCAATTATGTTTTTTTCGGTGCTGCTTCTTTGAAGTATGCTCTGATGTCAGTGGTTTTGGAGGTTTCAGAGAGAAATATAGTGATTTTCGATCGTAACCTTTATCAAGATTTGCCATGTGTACAAAAGAAAACACATGCCTTCAAACTACCATTTTGAGTTGAACAGAATGGTGTTTTCAGTATTTAATTCTTCAACAGGCATAACTGAAGTTTTTTGATTTGTCAGTATCTTACCCTATATTTTATCCTTCATGTGTATTGATGTTCTGCAGATTGACGATGATGAAACTGTTACGATGATTGACTTCCCACAGATGGTATCTGTTTCGCACCGGAATGCCCAGATGTATGTAGCATATTCTAATAGCTAAAGCCTAACGGACTGCTTTCTGTTCAGTATTCATGAGGTTTGTTTTTGCAGGTATTTTGATCGAGATATTGGGTGTATCTACAAGTTCTTCAACAAAAGGTATCACCTTACCGAGTGTAATATAAAAAATATCAACTTATCCACTACAACTGATTTTATTATTAAGCTTTGTCTTCCTTTTGTATTAGGTTCAATCTTACAGAGAAAGGTGGACAACATGGCTCTGAAACTGATGATGATGACAGTGGCAGGCCGTCCTTTCTGTCCATTCAAAAGTCTTCTGGTGCCTTGGACAAAGAACTAGCTGCCAGTGGCTTCACCAAAAAAGAGCAAGTTGAGATAGAAAAGGTGGGTCAGATGTTGGTACAAAACTCATATTGACGAGTTTCTCATTTTGAAGATCTACAAGATTTTACTTTAAAGGCAGAAGTATGTCATTTGGTTAATGTTGATAATGGGGATGTGACCATACGGGGATCTTGTGACAATGCACTTTTTGAAGGCAATGACATTAGATCACAAAATTATGTTAAAGTTTTAGATAAAAATGGAGTGTTCCTTCTCATGTGCAGTCGTATTAATTTTACGTTGAATATTGGATAATTAGATCCTGGTGAGTGCTGACCTTCTCTTCCTTTCACGTGATTACAGTTCATTGATGAGAATGCTGAAGAACACGATTCCGGCTCAGATGATGAGGATTCAACATCAGAACAGGAAAGTGAAGGTGGCGATGCCGTGTCTGCTGAAATCAGTTCCTTGAAAATAGTAGACCAGGTATTGATCTGCATCTAAATACTTCTCTAACTTAAAAGTGTCACCAAGCTTTGCCCACTGCCAAGCTATCATCCACCAGATTTAGTTTTCTTAGTTGCTAGTTTTTGAAGCATGTTTTGGTGGATATTGTTCAGGACCCTGCAGGTGTGCCTGATCTTGTTGTCATGGATTCAGATAAACATGAAGCTTTATCTAAAGAGGTTAGTAATATATATTCATTTGACTGACTAGACAAACTTATCAATGGATATTGCTTACTTCTGTCGACCTACCTTGCAGCATGCAACAAGCACAAGTCCCAGTGGCGAGAACAAATCAACTGATCCAACCGACGATGGCATCGAGGACCCTAAGGGAGCCGAATCAGGAGGCGACGACGACGATGACAACTCGTCTGAGGATACTGAGGATGAAGACGATGCATTGCTGACAAAGCAGCTGAACAAGCAAAGGAAAAGGGCGATGGCAGCTGCCCTCGGTCGGAGAAGGCCCCTCAACTCGAGGAACGCTTACAAGGATAAGGGGAAGGGCACCATGAACTCTAAGATCCAGAGGCAAGCCTGCCAATGGTGAATGGTTGGTTGGTCCTGCTTGTTTCTGGCTGGAGATCTCAAGACGGTTTGGTGCGGTCTTGAGCCCACCGAGCGGGCTTGCTAGTTGTATGAGTATATTTCCGTTGTCAGTTTTGGTTGTTGTACTGGTGCTTCTCCAGGGTTTTACCCGCTGAGCTGTAGTAAAAAAAAGAAGCGATACTGGTATCTTGTACTACTATCAGCTATAAGTACTATACTCTTCTTGCTCACTAGCAGTTTACTAAAGCAAAACCAAGCCTATATCATTCTCCTGAGGTGTAACTAGTTGCCGTTCTCGCGCTAGATCGTGTCTTACTGATATATGACACTTCAATCTTTGGTTCTTCTGGCCGTGCACGAGCTACCTTGGCAGCGCGCGGCGGCACTGCATCATGGCGGCGGCTCGCCGCAGCATCTCCAGCCGGGAGGACGGGCCGTGCCTGGTCGGTCCGGCCGCGGCAGCATCCTTGGATAGCTCTGTCCTCATCCTGGCCTTCTGCGCCCACCCCACCAGCCCCTGCTGGATGTGCTCGTCGAAGATCTCCTTCTTGAAGAAGGTCCCCATCTGCGTCACGATCGCGTACAGCGGCAGGGTGCTGTAGCTGCACAGCAGCTGGATGACGACCCTGCAAGCAAAGGGCAAAACCAACAACTGTCTTTGAGCCTGAACCTTAGAAGATGAAAACATGGCTGCCTGCTTCTTCTTGGCAATGTGAAGAGTGAATCGACGGAAGCGATGCGACCGACCCGATGACGAGCCTCGGCACGATGAAGGGGACGTGGTCCATGATGCACGAGTTGAAGCCGTAGGTGGTCTTGCAAATTGGTAAAGGGAAAAACCCAACAGAGACACAGTTAGTCACTAGCATCCATCCATCCATCCATTCTTCTTTTCTCTTCTACTGATATGATACTTTGCAGAGGACACTCACAAGGATCCAGAAGAAGAGCGCGATCTCGAAGGCGTTCTGGAAGAGGATGAAGTGGATCAGGTAGAGGATCACCCTGGGCTTGCCGCACCAGAAGTGCTCGTCCGACGGGTTCACCACCAGGTCGCCCTCGATCGCCGAGTGCTTCTCCGCGACGTCGTACGCCAGCTGAGCTATCACGTGCTCCAGCTTCGTGCCCACGGCCAGCAGCAGCTGCAACCACAAGGAAGGAAGCTTATATACACAAGTTCACACTTTGATATGCGTGCTGGGGTTCAGGGACACCTACGATGAGAGGAAGGAAGGAGATCCAGAAGTAGGTGTGCCAGCCTGCAGGTCAATCAGATCAGCAAGTGGGTAGGGTATACGATGTTGGAATAGTTGTAAACACTGGATATGGCAGTGTGATTGGAACTTACCATTGACGTTCAGCAGCATGAATATCACAACGAATATCCACAGGTACCACCTAAGTGGAAGCAAGGGTGAAAAAAAATGATCAGGCCACTCGGTTGCGCTGCTCAACAGCCACTGGTAAATGAACCCAGAAATTGGGAATTTTCACCCGAAACATCGATCTGGGGATTATCAAAAACACAATTTGTGAGTTTGGATTACCTTATGCCAACCACCTTCTTGAAATCGGCCTCCAGAGCTCGCACCATGTATCTGTGAAAGCCAAATTTCGGGTTTCCTCGGCAATGCGTCTGCAGAGAAAAGGATCTCTTGTTATTAATTTTCATAAATGAAGAGAGGATAGAGTTGTCAGCATGATGTTGAACTATCATCCTTACCATGATGAAACCGAGTCGCATGGTCGCGTAGTCTGATTTAGTGACCGATGCATAAAACTGCTTAACAAAAGAATGCTGAGGGAATGTTTTGATTAGTAGGGCAGGTTTAGCAGAAAAATATAGATATGTTCGTATGAAGAGGATACGGTGGTGTTTTGACTGAAAACCATATGGGATGCATTTCTTACCATCCAGCTCAACATCGTAGACTCCATGCCAACACCATTAAAACGTTCCCTGATAAATTCAAATTGTTGAACGTTGGTCAACTTCTTAGGTCCTGCAGTTCCAGAGGATTGCACAAGCCATAACTAGGCAGCCTATTTTTCCTTAAATATGCATACATTTCTAGCATTAAATTGTTTCTAAAGTAAAGGTATTGATTAGATCAAAATGTGGGGCAGCAACCGACCGTTTCCTGCATCGTTTTTATGAATTTCAGTCTCCCATTGTTTCCATTGGCGAATCTGAGCAATAGAACAGTGTTATGAAAGTTTACCTTGGCTCCTCCTAAAATCAAGCATTAAACCAAAACCGGTGTTATGAAAGTTTACCTTGGCTCCTCCTAAAACCATGGTCAGAACACTGAAAATCACATGGGTGATGGCCAGAACAAAAATGAAAATATGCAACTGATGTAACGCTTCGAGCGACAGCAAAGGAACTTTTCCCTGCCAACACATAAACTGGAGTTAGCACAAGGTTACCTAGGATCATTCCAGCATTAGACATCTTTTAAGATGTTGCAAGAACTGGGGTTAAAGCCATATAGCACTCTTTGTCTTTGTGCGCACCGACTCTTAAAATTCAGTGAGCAAGGTAGTAGTGCACTAACTAACCTGAATTAGAGTGAGATTGTATGTATTAATCATGAAGTGCATAATTAAACAAAAGGTATCTCTTTAAACTAACGGCCCATCAACCTTGTTTCTGCAATGGTCGGACCGCGGCGCATTCCTAGGAAGCAGCCTGCGACCGCCGAGATCGGCAACAGAATGCTCCTCCATCTTCTTGCAGGGAAGCAGGTAGTTGGTCCAGCTGGGAGGAATGCATGTCATCTGGATCACATCTTGCGACACCGTCATCAGCAGAGAGATGAACCCCAGAAGCATCAGCTCTGCATCATCACACACACCCAAAGACAGTCTGAAACTGGAAATGCAGTTCATGCTTACGCAGAAGGCACCATTTTTTCTCATCTGATTGAGGCCAAATGAGACGGTGAACGAACGAGCTCTGAGCTACCCCCTCGTTTTGCAATTAATAAGATGGATATTGTATAAAAGGAGCAGAGGGAAGATGAGCATTCTGCAATAAGAAATGCTGTTGAAACTCTGAAGAAAAGGTGAATGCTGCCGCACCTTCTTTCACCTTGAGGAGGGCCTCGAAGAGCGCCTTCTGGTGCTTCCTCTTGAGCGTCTGCATGCAGCACTCCGTATTAAGCGCATCAAGGCAAAGAGAGATCATCGGCAAGACTGGGGTTGGGGTCACCTTGCCGAGGTAATGGAGGCATCGTTCGGCGGCGAGGGAGATGGTCACGATGAGGGAGCAGACCCCGGCGACGATCCACGTCGGCGTGTACTCCAGCGCGTCCGCCTCCGCCTCCCCGCCAGCGCCACCGCCCTCCATAACTCCGGTCACCTCCGCCGCCGCCGGCAGGCGATCGGCCTCACCTTCCGGCCATCTGTGTGGCCGCGAAACGCAGAAGAGACGTCGTGGGCCGCCGCAGGGTGGCGGTGGCGGTGGAGTCGCTCGTGCGCGATCGGCAGTGCGGGCTTGGTTCGTTCGGACACCGGAGCGCGTTGATCGTGCTGTCCCGATCAGAAAAGGTAAATCCTATTCGACCGGCGTCTGTTCGATGCAACGTTGGCCAGTTCACTCACTGCACAGCGTGAGCCCACGCGTCCGTGCCACTGTTTGGCGCCCGTGCCGTCCGCGCCGGTGTCCGCCCGCCCGGCCGTTCGCGCGCGTGATCGTTGTTCGGCCGTGTGATCCGATCGACAATAATGATTTTTTTTGCATATGTATTAAGACGCTTGGCCTCATTTCGAAGTTGTCCAGAGTTTTATATTTTTTTTAACTTTCGCAACTATAATTAGGTAACAAGCATGTCCTTTACAATAAATGGGATTAGGAAGTCTTGAGGTTTATCATTCCACACCCCATATCCCTGTCCCTCAAAACTAAAGCGAGCAAGTTCATGAGCACACCCATTAGTTTCACGCATACTTTGACTTGTAGTCGCCTTGCCAAAAGAATTCATCAACTTCCGGCAATCATCGGTGATCACTGCTCTTGACGCCCGATACTCGGACGGATTCTGTATAGCCTGGTAGAGAGAATACCCAACCCCTCGGCAAGTCATAAGCCTAATAGCACAGCTGCCTCCATCGTAGGAGCATCAAGAGCATGCTGCCTAAACTCCATCGCTGCAGCAATAAAACCTCCTTTGCAGTCCCGTAGAATTGCACCACAAGAACCAGCACCTCTGTCCACATGGTACGAAGCATCAACATTCAATTTTATACATCCCGATGCCGGCCTAGACCAACAAATATCCCTCTGGGGAACTGTCTTTTTATCTGTGACCCAATCGGCAACAATCCCTCTAATTTGTAGGGCAGATCGAGTTGGTGTTGCAACCTTCTCATCATGTGAAATCTGACGCTGTTCCCACCATATGTACCAACACGCAACAAGAATCAACTCCACCGCATTTTCTCCAGGGACTTCCACTCTCCCTCGTAGTTTTGAACATAAAATCTCATCCAGAATTAGTGATCCTGACCTGTACTGTGATGCGACAGCCGTCACACAATCCCTAAGACCTAATTCTTCCCATACTTCTGTAGCTCTTTGGCAAATGAAAATAATGTGTCTAAGGTCTTCTGGATCAATATTACACACAGGGCAAATTACCCGTGTCTTTATATGTCTATCCGCCAAGGTACAATAACAAGGCACAATGCCATGCAGTGCCCTCCAAATAAAAATGTGCACCTTGGGAGGGACCCTCGTCTCCCATAGTATTTTCCAAACAGGATGAGAATCATTTCTTCCTCCTCCTGTTACAATCCCCGCTCTGGTTCGGTACTCCGCATTCCATTCTGCATAATATGCTGACCTCACTGTGAAGCATCCAGACTTACAAAATTGCCAAGCAATGAAATCCGGTTGATCTTGAGATGGAAGTGGAATTTTTAATATTCTTGAAACATCAATAGACCAGAGATTATCTTGTATAAGCTGAACATCCCGCTCGCCTGTGGTAGGGTCAATTAGATCTTGTATTGTCTCTGGTAGACAATGACCCCTAGGGGTCAAAACACGCCAATCATAGGCCGAATGTTTCCAAAGATCAGACCAAATTTTTATAGAAGCCCCATTACCCGGTCTCCAAATCGCACCCCTCCTGAGGGTCTTTAGACCAGACATGATACTGCGCCATGTAAAAGAGGATCCCTGTTTTAGTACATCATTAAAAAGATCCCCATCCGGATAGTACTTAGCTCGTAGCACCTGAGCACATAATGATTCAGGTTAAGACAAAAGTCACCAACACTGCTTAGCAAGCATAGCTTGGTTAAAACAGTGTAGATCACGAAATCCCATGCCTCCTTCTTTCTTTGGTATACACATTTTCCATCAAGCTTTCCAGTGCAACTTTCTTTGGTCCTGAGAGCCACCCCACCAGTACCTCGCTATTGCATCACAAATACCTTTGCAAATTTTCTTAGGCAAACTGAAAACTGATATTGCGTACACTGGTATAGACCGTGCCACTGATTTTAGCAGTATTTCCTTTCCACCGGTGATAGCATTGTAGCATTCCACCCATCAATAAGAGCCCAGACTCTATCAACAAGTTGCTGAAAACAATCACTACGATCAACACCCATATGTGAGGGTAAACCAAGATATTTATCCGTCATTGCCTCAATCACATTATTAAGTTGGACCGATGGGTTTGTCGAGCCGAGCACAACCCGAGAAGAAAACGAGCCCACTTTCACATCCCATTTCATGGTTGTTTCTTTTATCGGCTCGAACCCAAAAACTCAGAGTTGCACATCCAAGCACTAAATCCTATATGGCGCCTTAAGCCCCGGTTTCAATATGTTTTGCAAATCGGCTCACATCCCCGATCCGAACGGGCCGGCCCATGTAAGCCAGGAAGTGGAGAAGTTCATCCAGGTTTTGTGAAGCTTCTGGAAGCTTCCCAACCCGGTTTTGTGAAGCTTCTTTAAGCTTCGGGTTGTTTTTTTTCTAGTTTCCTAATCCAGTTTTTGTTCAGTTTTATCTGGGTCTTTTTCGTTTTTCTTCTTTTTGATTTGTCTTTTTCTCATCTTCTTTCTTTTTTCGCGTGAACTTTTAGAAATTCATGAACTTGTTCTCAAATTGTGATTTTTCTCAACTTTGTGATTCTTAATTACATGAATCCTTTTCAAATCTGTGAACCTTTTCAGTTCTGCTAACTCTTTTTAGTGAACTCTTTCAAATCTGCCTGCTTTTTCTGTTTTTGCTAACTTTTTTGAGTGATTTTTTTTTCAAATCCATGATTTTTATTCTATTTTTGCTAATTTATTATAGTGAACTGTTTTTCAAATTTATGATTTTTTTAAAAAAATATCTTGAACTTTTCACAAATTCACGAACAAATTTGGGAATTAACAAACATTTTTTAAAATTCTTGAACTTCTTTTATTTACTAAACATTTTCCAAACTCACTCAACTTTTTTACAAATTCATGAACGTTTTTGAATTCGGGAACTTTTTTTGAATTCATGAACTTTTTCACAGCACATCCTCACAAGAAATAGAAAAACTCTAGCAAGCAGCCCTACATAGAGATGGATCGAACAAGCACATCGTGCGAGAACGAAGGAAAAACAGCTATCGAGCAAGCTATATGTTCCACAGGGTCTTCCTATCTGCCACAATTTGCGGCAGAATGGCGGGGCTTCGCACAGGCTCTTCGCCCGGGCCGGCCCACCAACGCGCCTTGTTGTCTTCTATCACGAAAAAAAACATGAAACAAAAAAAAACACTGGCATGGCTTGATTCTAAGACCTCAAACAACAGAAGCTACTAACTGCGGGTAGTCAGCCAACACACCAAGTATCAATTCCTGGGCATATAGGCGCAAAATACTATAAGAACACGGAGTAGCAGTTGAGATTTGGAAAACGTTTTCTTGAAAATTGGGAACAATTTTGAAATGCCGTGATTTTTTTATATTCCAATTTTTTTGAAAAAGGTGAACCATTTTTGTTATTCTGATTAAAGAAATACACGAACAATTTGCAAACCCCAAAATAGTCTTCTAAAACACGAACATTTCTTGAAAAAATGAACATTTTCTTGAAAAAACTGAACGAATTACGAAAAAATGCGAAGATTTTTGGTAATTCCTGAATATGTTCTGAGATAACGACCAATTTTAATTTTTGAACAAAAATTGAAACCAAAAACATCTTTTTAATTCAGAACAAAAACTTAATACATGAACATTTTAAAAAAATGGGATGAAAATTCGTATTCGTATAATGTTTTTGGAAATGCGAACAAAATTTGATACATGGGAACACTTTTTGAAATTGCGAAAAAATGTTCAAACCGCGAACATTTTCTGAAGCATGAACATTTTTGTGAAAAATTCTGAAAAAAACAACATTTTTTGAAATTCCTGAGAAACACAAACATTTTTGGAACTATGAACTTATTTTGAAAGCAAGAAGATTTTTTGAAATTCCTAAACCTTTTGAAACATGAACATTTTTTAAAATTGTGAACAATTTTCTGAAAACCAGCACATTTTTTGCAAACATGAACATTTTCTGAAACTCCCGAACAAATTTGAAAACACGAATGATATTTGGAAGTGGAAATTTTTGAAAAGCACAAACATGTAAACAAACAATTAGGAAAAAACAAAAATGGAAAGAACAAAACAAAAAAGATAAAAAAAGGAGAGAATAGCAAAAAAAAAGAATCATGAAAGAAATAAAATCGAAAAAGAAACAGAAACAGACAAATAAACCGGTTCATGAACCTCCTACACGGTTCCCTAAACCAGAAAAAACCAGCTCAGAACCTCTAGAAGATTTCCAAAACCAGAATCGCCACAACCATTAATGGGCCAGCCCATATCGCGTCCCTCGCTGCTGAGGCCTGTGCAAAAGCTCTACAGCTTGCCGCAACGTGCGTTCTATAGGATTTTCCGTGCGCGTGACATGGTGTTCGATGGAAGATGTGCATGATTTTCTACTGGAGTCCGCCAATTGTTGCATATACTTCTCATCTTCACACATGGCTTATAAATATATTGTATGATTCTGCATATAATAAAGCAAAGTGTTGTACTTTCCTCTTGAATAAAAAATAGTATAAATTATTATTATTATTATTATTTAAAATAACCTAGAAATATATATTCTCGTAATATTTCATGTCGTATCTGAGTATTCATGTTCATATCAATCCTTTGTCGATAAAGCTTAGCAAGTCGTTCCTGTGGACATAGCAAATATGACCTTTTAAACGTTCGTGGACGTGTCTGGTCGGTGACCAAGCGTATCTGTTTTGAACCTCTATTTATCTGTCCACGCAGCCACACTGCTCATTTTTC